AAACTTGTATAGTTTTGGCGACTTGAATGGTTTTGAGTCTTTGACAATGTGATGTTTGACAGGTCACACATTAAAGTAGTTTTACAAGTTGAGCAAATAAAATATCAAAATTTGAGTTTCACGGGTCATTTAAAAAAAATCATACAAATTCAGGAGCAAAATATCCCTAAAAGTAATGCCACGTGTGGCATTGAAAAGGCCACGAAAGTTCTTTTCCCGTAGGTTAAGCTTTCGATCTACCACATTTATTTCTTTTCTCGTACACCTTTTCAAACTGTTTCAAGGGGTCAAATCAATTGAAAGCGGAATGACGGTGTTGAGTTATTTCCTGCATAAGCAATAGTCGAACCAGCATAATGAAAAAGACGTTGGCCCCTAGAGTCTTGAGTTTGTGGTGGGAAAATGTCACTCATAATGTCATATAGAAGCCTCGTTCGTAGCTTAAAATGCAAAGTTTTTTGTTAGGCTTTTGAAGTAGGCCAAAGTTGCTTTAATTCTTGGGTATAATTAGACTTTGGATTATGAGTGGACGTGGTATTACCGATGATAGGTAATAATCGTTTTACATAATGAAAATTTAATCACTGCTCTTTAAGCGTAGACGTAAACTTATAGTTGGACCACGTTAAATCTAGGGTCTTTCATGTTTACTTAAAGCCATTTTTTATCTTCCATTTAATTTCTTCGAATTGGCATTCCAACAATAAACCCCAAAAAATTTATAAAAAAAAAAATGTTAAAAAAATAATGAGAAAAAGAAATCAAGGGAGAAAACGACAACTAGGGAAAAACGAATGATGAAAATAACTGGTAATAATTGAAAAGAGAATAATTCCAAAACAACTTTTGGGACGACATTTAAACAAAAATTGCTCCGTCGAAAGGATGATAACTGGGGAACCAAAAAAAAAAAAAGAGGAGCTCAAGGAGCTCAGTTCATCTCTTGGAATTATCAGTTTCTTTAAATCACTCGCCATCAACAATACATCACCAACCACTAATTCTGTATGCGGAGAGCTAAAGTCCTAAGTGTTCCATAATTTATGTCAATACGAAGGAAAATATATATATATATATATATATTCTACGAAATACAGCAACCAAAAAAAAAAAAAGCCAATCCTCCAACGCTCCAGACCACACTTTCTTCTTTGCTAAGCCAAAGTTGTTCCTTCAGGCTTCATCTCAACTTCTCAGGGGAAAAAACCAAGATACAGAAAACTTCTACAGCTTTTAAGATCAACCAAGGTGGGAATGTTTTCTCTGTTTCCTAAAATATGGGCATCCAAAGGCAGTTTGGCCTTGTCTCACTCCAAATGTTTATGCAACCATTGAACAATTATCATCGACTCGGCCTGGCTAAAGCAAAACAAGCATCTGGCTTTGTTGACATCAACAACTCAATGACGACAATCCCTCCATCTGGACGGTGGACATTGAGACCAGGCTCGATTAAACCTGCATCAACAAACCGAAAGGGGGGAAAGAGCAAAAAAGATGCATCATCACCGAAATCCAAGCTCGTGAAAGAAAAAAGTGCCAGAAGGAACCAACACTTACCAGGAGAAAGATTTCTACCACCATATAGCTCCTTTGCCAAGGGATTTCCGGCCCATTGATTAACAGCCACGCGACTTGTGGGTTGGAATCCAACTAGCTTTGGCCTGGCTAAAGCAAAACAAGCATCTGGCTTTGTTGACATCAACAACTCAATGACGACAATCCCTCCATCCGGACGGTGGACATTGAGACCAGGCTCGATTAAACCTGCATCAACAAACCGAAAGGGGGGAAAGAGCAAAAAAGATGCATCATCACCAAAATCCAAGCTCGTGAAAGAAAAAAGTGCCAGAAGGAACCAACACTTACCAGGAGAAAGATTTCTACCACCATATAACTCCTTTGCCAAGGGATTTCCAGCCCATTGATTAACAGCCACGCGACTTGTGGGTTGGAATCCAACTAGCTTCCCGTCTAATGACAATACTACCTATGATTGGCCCAAGCAAATACACATTGTACCAAAAAGAAGTGAGCAATATGAAAATCACTGAGCAGAAAGGTATCTTTCTCAAGAAATGAATATCCCATATTTCATGACATTTAGTTTTCATTGTTTTGGTTTTTAAGAACTTTAAGAAAATTTTGAGGATTATCAAGTTTTAAACCCCGTCCACTCAGTGGACCTGGAATTTTAAATTGTTTACGTATTATTTATGTCAAATTTGCATAGGAAAGACTGCAGAAGTAGTATGGTAAAGTCAACTAAAAGACGTGAATTACCTGATAATTAGCAATATCCTGTGCTGATGTCTTAATTTCTGCATCAATACTCTCCGCAGGGGTAGTTGTTGAGATGCCCTCACTGTCAGAATCATTTTGAACCACCAACCTCAAGTATTCTGGCAATATGCCAGTCCAAACACCCACACTTCGCTCTCCTGTTATATCACCGGGCCAACCCAAGGCATCCTTTATCCTTTTGACGACTGAGATGCAAAATGCTTCCAACTAACCAAATAAATATGAAATGTTACAACCTTATGGAAGAGACATTGAGAAAACAAAAACAAAAAACAAAACAAAAAATGATGAAACAAAGAATAAACTTATATCTCCCTTTTCCTTTTTCTTTCTTGTTTCTTCACCAGCAGAACTAACCTCATTCGCACATACTTCTTGAAATAATCAACTGATAAGTCGTCAATAAAAAAGATATACTATAACAGAACATTCAATTAATTTGACCCTATAGTTGCACTCTCAATAGTTATACAAGGCTCAACTTATATAAGAATCCAGCCCGATAACGTCCTGGATATGAACTTAAGAAATGTTATATGGGAATATCCTATGGGAATAATTACTCCATTGGGACGGCATCAAGTGGAAAATACCAATACCCACAAATGAACGTTAAAAATGCTTAAACCAACGTACTCTAAATTCAATTAACCCTCACGTCTACAAGTTCGTAGATGCATACATATTACATACCTCAGCATCGTCTAGAGACTGATGCAGTAAACTTTCAACTTCTGATGATGAAAGAGACTGACTTTCCCGGATGTAATTTCCAACCTTAAGATGCGGCAAACAAAGTTGACCGAGGGCACTAATTGCGATGATAAAAATTCCACTTGCAACAGTGATAGACAGCATTTTCAACAAGACAGAATTCCTCTGAAATAACGGAACGGTGTTAACCCATTGCTTATACAAACAATTAATACAAAATATAGTTCCCAAACTGAAAAGAAACGCAGAAAAACTAAAGAAAACAGGGAAATTCAAGTTATACCAAAAAGTTTAAGAAATGAAAGACAGAGCTATGCAACTCTAGAATTCATATATGTGATAAGCCCCCAATCCGTGTGACTTACGTCAGGCATGCCAAGCGTGGGCCTTAGATTGTGTGTGATCTAGTGCAGCGTCCTGGGGTGTGGGCTACTTTGGGAAATGTGATTTTCTGTTACAAAATGGTTAGCTTCTGTGGTGAGTATATGAGGAAAGTTGGAAAAGGAGAGAGATCAGGGAATTGGTTAGAACTGGGTCTCTCGAATGCCCAATACTATCTTTTATTGTATCTGTCTTTAATTTCCGTCTAAATTCAATAAAAATACAACTGATTCTCTCTCTCTCCATTAAGTCTTATCAATATGATTGTCGCAGAAGTTATTTTATGTTAATGGCTCACCATCATGTTTGGGTGCAGAATATCGAAAATGAATGGGTGTGCTTATGTTGTGTTAACTGTTAAGTAGGATATAATTATGTACGTAATTTATATATCTGACAATATTTAGTCAATATTAAGGGCTCGTTTGTTTGATGCGTTTAAACCTATGATTTTGATTCTACTACAGTATTTTCCTCTCACAAAAAATTTAAATTTCAAATGTCAAAATCAAGAATCACTGGTTTAAACGCATGAACCAAACGGGCACTAAATCTCCGTATTACCCTCCAAGAAAATTCCGCATAAGCAAGAAAAAGACGCAAGAAAATGTGCATTAGATACTTCCATCAATGCAACCAACAATGCTACGTATCAACTAAAAGAAGGTTGCTTCTTTATTTCTGGTAAAATACATTCTCAAACTATAGGTAATCAAGACTCTTACTATCAACTTTACTAAAGAGAAAGAGAAACAAAGAGAAGAAAAGGAATTTGCATCCAAGTACCTTTTTATTGGGCAAATTAGTAAAATTTCGAACGAAGCCACAAGATAGTTCTTTATTGGGCAATGTGTATAGATCTTCATAGTACATGTCTATTACATCTGCCAATCCAACCTGCAAAAATTTAAAAACCCGGGTTACAATAAAGAGAATAATATACTCCATTATGCAACTCTCCTTTATTTTTCTTATGAAAGGCGATTTCACGTTATGATATTTTGCTACAAAGTTAGCCCCAAAACTAAAGCCTGCCAAAAATCTGGCTTTACCAGAAGGAAGTCAAGGATATGGAACCTCTCCATCATAGACATTCCCATTGAGCTTCAGAATAAGTGAAAGCTCGAGACTTCCTATACTACATTCCTTAAAAAGTGTGAAGTACCAATGACAGATATAACAAAAAAAGTAAATTAAATCCCCTGTGAAGACAAAAGAAAAGAGTGAAGTACCATTTGGGAGTGCGTGAAGAGGACTTCCCACATATTGTCCGAAGATTTTCTCCACCCTTCCAACTTTACATCCTTAAGTTGGTTAGCATCAATTTGTATCATGTAAGCAGGAATATACTCACTTGTCCAAGCGCTAAACTGAGGACCACCAATCTTTTCCAATTTAGAGTGTGCCGTTGGCGTCCACCAATGATAGTTCGATCTGTTTCTTGAAGGCCTAAAGTGAGCCTTTGTCGAATTAAACTCTACCAGAAGACTCTTGGCATTCTCAACTATCTCATCTTCAAACAATTTGGTTATGATAACTGAAGAATCTTTCGACACAATCCTTCTAGGCTTCTGTAACCAACAAAATAAACTACTAGAACTTTTGCCCAAATAATTATCGAGGAAACTTCTTTCGGTGCTCTGAAGAGCAGAGATACAAACAGCTTCTGCAAGCACAGAGATAACCCTTTCATCTGATGAGCTAAGGGTGAAAGATGCAGAGACCTGCTGATACGAAATGCATAAGAGAACTGAACCCATCAGTATCATGTTGCACCTGCAGGACAGACATTATTCTGACATTACATTTTACGAGAAAACGACGCGGATCACCTGATTACATAAGAGAAGTACACAACAAAGAGAATGGCAATTCACAAACCTCTCTTGGATTTTCAAGATCCTCCATATTTCTTTCTGTTCCAGGCCTGAAAACAACCAGTTCAAAGCTCCAAAGCTGCTGGAGCACTACTTGTCTAAAAGTCATGGCAAGTATATTCTTAGATGTAGCACCGGAAAATATATCTTCGCGGAGTCTCAGCTTACCGGCCTTTTCTTTAACTTTCCTCGCCGGGAGAAACTGTAGAGACAATTCAATTTTTAGCTAGCATATCCACAACCGAAGAAACAAAGAAATTCAGGATTTTAAAAATACTTAACAAAGCTGCTCATATCATTAATAACCCACAGGACCCTTATGAACTTGGTCAAATAAAAATTCAAACTTTTCAGTATAATTTATCCGTTCATTGCAAATAAAGAGCAGAACAGACTCCCCTTAAAAATGAGCTTACCAACCGGGTTGAGACGGTACTGTGCTGGTCCGAAGAGCCCGGAAAAACGGTCTCCACGACCATGGCGGGCATTCCCGATTGGATATGCTCGTCGGCGGCCTGGCCACCGTCGGCCCCGGCCCGGCCCCGCAGCCCCTCCCCCTGCCGCCCCCGCCCGCCGTCAGAGCCTGCTGGAAATCGACGGCTCCGACGAGAGTGAGCCTCGCCAAGTCGTTCTCGTAAGTCCTCACGCACGGAAGGCTGTTCTCGTTGGAGTCCGCCACCGCCCGGAGTACCTCTTGCTCTGTGCCGGGAACAGCGTTCAGAGAAGAACGGACGAGGACGGGGACAGAAATTCGGAGGTTTACGATGGGCAAAATGGGAAAGAATGCGCCGGTTTTTGGGGGGAAGACGAAGCGAGGTCGGAAGGGAAGGAGAGGGGTGTGGAGGGAGAGAGAGAACGGGACCGCCATTGTTGGAGCTGGGAAAGGGTTTCGAGCTCTGAAACTGGAATTAAACGTTTTACTTTTTCTTTTTCCATTCTTTTTTTTTCGACAATTTCATATTAATACCCGTGTCTCACCGTGTGTTTGGTAGGGTGGAAAAGAGAAAAAAAAAAAATAAAGGAAGGATTTTGTAGAGAAAAATAAAATTTTAGGTTGTTTAGTAAGGAGAAAATGAGAAACGGAGGAAAATAAAAATTCATAAGGCTTACTAATTTTTAATTCTTTTAACTTTGGGAAGAAAAGAGAAGGGAAAAAGTTTGACAAAAATGATACGTAAAATAACAATTTTAACATTCATCATTCATCATATTTTTATTTTTATTAAGGTATTATTATAAAATTTCTTAAATTTAACATTTTATTTTTACTTTTTTTTCTCTTCTACCAAATAACATGAGAGAAAATTATTTTACTTCACCTAAATATTTTACTTCTCTTTCTTTTCTCTTTTCTATCCATCCTACCAAACATAGCATTAGTGTAATAGTCTTTTTATACCTTATATTCTTAATAATTTTGAATTGATATCTTCACATTTTGATAAATCATTTTTTTGTTCTAATCCAGACGTAAAATGCTAAATTTATTATTCTCATTAATTAATTAAAAAATTTTAAAAACATTTTATAAACATTTATGACTCGTTTAGTTCACATATATTGATAAAAATTTTGTGAGATAATCATTAGTAAGAATTTTTTAATTTAAAGTTTTTATAGAAGAAAAATATTGTAACGGAATTAGAATCGTGAGTTTAAGGGGTTGTTTGGTTGGGGGATTCGTACCCCGATTTGAATCATGGTTCATGATTCGCTACAGTTTTTTTCTCACAAAAAATACACGTAAATTGAAAATGGTTCTAATATTATGATTCTAATCCATGAATCAAACATATTATATTTGTTAAACTGAAAAACAAAAAACTTAAAATAAGAGAAATCTTGACAAAAAAAAAGATATTTGTGTGTCCGTTTTATGATTTAGACAAAAATTTTACTTTATACCTGTCAATTTTGCATCAAAAACTAATTATAGTAATTTTTAATTTGATTGATTTTGAGTAGATTCTAACTGTTTTTTTTTTTTCGGTAGAAATATTTCTACTTGTTAAGTCAGTGTCTGCATTTCGCTTATTCAAACCATTTATGTTGACTTTTCCCACTTGCTATGTCACTGTTCGCCTATTCGAGGTATTTATGTTGATTGTTGACTCCGCAGGCTTGTAGCAGTCAACCGAAGAGGGGGGGAAAAAAGAAACGAAACAAAACAAAACAATACGGAGAAATGGCCAAAGAGTACTTCCACAACCCGTTAAGTACAAAATACCAATATATATACCAAATAGTCAGACAGATGATATTGCAGAAATTGTATTTTATGGACTGCAAACTGCCCACATCACTAATACAATATTTGAAGCCCCAAAATAGTCGGGAATAAATTGCAACAGCAATGTGAATCCATCCTATCCAGTTATGGTGACACTAGTGGCTTGGGGGGCTCACCATTTTCATAAACTTTTATACCTGTGTCCCAAAAGTTAGGATATACTTATGTGTCCAAGTAACGCAACGTATTTCCATGCGCGAACAAGCCATTCACAGTATCTTTGCAGAGCACAAAATGAGCTTGACTTAGGTTATATATCAAAGGAAACAAAAAACCGAAAGACTGGATGAGTTAAAGAAGTGATAACACGACCCCCACCACTACCTACTGTTATACCACGACCCCCTAACAATGTGAAGCTCATTCTATACTCCAGCAGGATTCTTAATTTACGTCAGGTAATACTCGGTCACATTTTCAACTAGATAATCATACGGTGCACCCAGTCCGTAACCAAATGTACCGTTTGTTGTTGCTACTCGGCTTGCCGTGGTATAAACATTTCCTCCAGCATTAACCTTTGTGTTGATTTTGGCTCTACCCTTGACAGAGCGCTTGATGTCGGGAGAGGGAAACTCGGCAGAAAGTCTCCCCATCTGCTTTTGCAGATCAGCAACTGAATCATTAGATATTTTCCCCTTGGCGCTTTTCTTCCCATCAACGAGCTTCAACTCCAACCTATATAGTGCACATGCATCACACTTGTTGATCTCGTATTCGTAAAGGTGCCACTCAATATGGTTCAAGGGTTGCGGATCCATATAGTAGGATCTCTTCAATCCTCCAAACTCATTCATCACTTGCTTCCTCGACTCATGCCAACCACGTCCGCTATAATCCGGTAATGACCTCTGCTTTCTGTTACCACTCTCAAATGCTCTACGAGGCTTGTCAAAAAAGAGCCACTCTCTAATTGTTTCACCTTCGAGAACCGAGAGATCAAAGAGTTCTGCATAACAAAACATAACAAATAAACTGACTGAATCCCAAAAGGCCGAAATTTGCAACATATTCACAGAAAAAGTTTTAAAAAAAATGCCACTCCAAAGTCCAAATCAATGTGAAAGAAAACCCAAATGCTGACTGAATCCCAAAAGGCCGAAATTTGCAACATATTCACAGAAAAAGTTTTAAAAAAAAATGCCACTCCAAAGTCCAAATCAATGTGAAAGAAAACCCAAATGATACCAGGTGCATTCCACGGAGATTTTGCAGTTGCAGCTCCTTCACACTCTGGGACACCTACATCTTTTCCTTGTGCCTTTGCACTAAGAGCAGCAAAAAGCAGTCCATCCTTCAAGCCAATGCCACAAGGTCGAAGAACAGGACCCATACCGGGTGGTCCTTCATTCAATGCAAGAGCAGCATGAAAGCTACTGCAATAGTCTTGACACCAGTCCAACCCTTGAGCAGGCCTTGGGCAATCCCAAAGTGCACATTTCGGGCCCAAGAAAGCAGAAGGTGGAGGGCATATGCTTGGAAGATAGCTAGAAATATGCGGCAGTGCATCCTCTACAGACAATCCTGTACCGTTAAAGCCAGTATAGAAGTTGCGGTCAAAGTCTTGATGTAACTCATATGGATGATAGTCTAAATGAGTAGCTCCTTCCAAATTGTTAACTGAAACATTGCAAACTCTTGAGCTGGAGTTTTTGCAATCAATCAAAGGGAAGCCAGGTTCCTGCTGCACCTGGTTCATGCCAAACCCCTGAAAAATTCACACTCACCAATAAGTGCCCACTTTCAACTGCATATTATCATCGGTGCAAAATAAAACTATCAAATAGAACAGAAGACTCTAATAATTAAGATTTTTAAATATTGCACAAGCACATGTAAGATGAATAAGCATTCTTGGCTATGTAAAGATGTGCTGCACATTAAAAGAATGTTAACAGTTGCAGGGGTCAAATTTTACAACATTAGTAAGTGCTATTTCAATCCCCTTCCATATAAGCCTACGCTTTGAGAGAAAAACAAGTGATCGAACCTCAAGAATGTTACATATCTTGCACACTCATGTCACCGCTCCTTACGCTCAACGGCATGTACTTTATGTTCTTATACTCCACACGAAAACTAGGGAATCACTCTAAAAGAGCAGTTTCTGAACCAAGCAAGGCTATCAAGCAAGCCATGCATACTACACAATTAGATTTTTCTACAGTGAGCGCGCTTCCCAATTGCAATCTTCTTCACTAAATTGATTATTCCTACAACTGTTATCTTACTTTTGATGGAGCAACCAATAGGTTAAATGGACTTCAATTGACATTGTAGGTAAGCCTAGATACCATCAATGAATCCATATCTAAGAACTAACCCAAAGAAGTTTGTCAATACCCATGCTGGCGTTTGCTCTTTCCCACATCATGCACAAACTAGAAAGGGTTCTGGGTATATAAATGAGACCAAGAAAGGTCAATTGATATAGTAGATTCCTAATTGAGGAGAATCAAGGAAATGTCACGGCATGCATTATCTTTCCATAGTTATTATTTTCAACAACAGATGATAACCACTACAGAGAATCAATACTGAGATATCACAACAACTGAAATAAACAAACAACATATTAACCCAAAAAAGCATTTGTAACATAAAAATTCAAGAAACAAAGCCCACCTCAGGAAAAACCATGGTTTCTCCAACTTGAAAACTTTGATCAGTAGGCTCGGGCTTCGGAGCGGCTAATGGACTAGTGGCGTCATCTTCCTCCTCACAGAGCTGCAGTAGGCGATAAATGTCCGATGAGAACGATCCGGGACTACCACCCTGTACCAACCCATAAAGATCACAAGTCACAACCAGAAAAACCACATCACAGCCTAAATCTAGCTCTCAATTTACACATTTTAAGGACAATTCTTATACCACCTATCACATACATCGGAGCATAAATTCATTTACACGTGTGGATCAAGATAGGTACTGAAAATGGCAATAAACATTTTATATGATATCCTGACTTGTTGCAAGGAAGAAGCCGGGGAGGGCTCATTGAGCTCGGCTTTCCATTCGCGGAGCATCTGATGGACTTGCTCTTCGAGGACCGCCAAATCGATCGTGCGGCTCTCCTTCCTCGCGTATTGGAGGTCCATGAACACGGCCTGCAGGTCATCCACACGGTTTTTCGCTTTGTCCTTAAAGAGCTTGTGCGTCACTGACTTGCATTTGCTCTTCGAATTCTTCTCCATCCTAAACCTCACCTTTTCAATCCTGTTATAGACCCTGAATTTCACGCACCAAACCAAACCCATCTCAGATCATTAAATACCCATTAAACTTCTAAAAGACTAAACCATTCCCAACAAGCAAAAAGCGAAAAATTTCACCCCAAATTAAGCATATCCAAACAAAACCCAAATCATGAATCGGAGCAAACTTAACAGAAACAAACACGAAATCACCAAAACTATACTAAAATTTTTGGAGGTACTAAAGTTGTACCAAAACCAAACAGAAATAAAAAATAAATAAAATATATATATATAAACAAAACCCAAATCATGAATCGGAGCAAACTTAACAGAAACAAACACGAAATCACCAAAACTATACTAAAATTTTTGGAGGTACTAAAGTTGTACCAAAACCAAACAGAAATAAAAAATAAATAAAATATATATATATAAACAAAAAACAAAAAACAAAACAAAACAAAAAAATGAGCAATTACCCAAAAAGCTAAATCGCAAGAAGAGTTTGGAGTAAAGCTGGGATCGAAAATCCAAGTCCGGAAGAGGAGAGTTAATAAGTGAGAGAAAGTGAGAGGAAACTGAGAGAAAGAAAGTGAAATATTCGATCGAAAAAGGCGAGAGATGCTTACTCCTCAAAGCGTTTGATGCCGAATTTCCAATCCGCAAAAGCTTTTTTTTTTTTTCCGGTTTTTGCTTTAATTTATTTTTAGTGTTTGAGGTCTCTCTCTAGTCACTCCCACAAAGGCCAACAACAGTGGCTCGGCCACGGCCTCTCTCTGGGTGTGAAGCAACGTGGACGCGCCAAAAAGCTGAAAGGGATAAAAAATAAAATTCAAGTTGCCCTCAACGTTGACGTTATTTACTGGCATACAGCCTTGGATTTTCTAAAGATATGAGTCACGATTACTCATCCTGTGGGGGCTAGTTTGGTAATTTGACCTTCCCTTTTACTTTTGTTTACTTTGCACTTAAGCTTGATCGAATTTACTGTTGGGTGCTTTTTGGTTGGGGATGTGTACCTTGATTTAAATTATAGTTCGTGATTTGTTACAGTATTTTTTTCTCATAAAAAATATACGTAAATTGAAAATAATTCTAATCTAATGGTTTTAATCTATGAACTAAACGTCTCCTTAATCTCGTACTTTTCACTCATTAAAATTGAAAATTTAAGTTAAAAAATAAATTTATGTAAAAAATATAGTGTAACAAAATAGATTAAATTTAAATTTTTATAAAAAAAATATTATAGTAAAAATTTAAATTATAATTTGATCTATAATTCTTTTTCTATAAGCTCTATATAAAAAGGGGAATGAAATGGTGTACTTCAACCAAGTAATATGTTCGGCAACCCTATTTTTTAGTTAAAAACTCAAAAAAAAATAATTCGAGTTACAACTTTATTTGAGTTCATGTTCTTTTAAGTTTGAACTCGAGTTTGGGACTAAAACTCAAGTTCAAGTTTCTCATTTAACTCGAGTTCAGAAACTTGAACTCAAATTAATGAACAATATTTTTTCTATTCTTAAAAATGCTATAACTTTTTCGTTTTAATTCTAATTGAAATGATTTTTTTTCTATGCGTTGACAACGAAAAAACGAATAAAACCCCACTCATATACCCTATTAAAATTTTTCATCAGCATTGAGTTTTTATTAAAATACTATCTAAATACAGATTCAAGTTTTGACTCACTCAAACACAAACTCAAAAAGATTCTTATCTCAAACTATAACTCAAATGTACACAACTAAATACAAACTCAAGTTACAATTTCAACTCAAGTTATAACTCAAACTCAATTTAAAATTTACACTCAAATTACCTAACTAAAAAACGACAAAATAACAACCCAGGTGGTCCAAATCATCATCTAATGGTCAAATTTATACATATGGCTAATACATTCCCTCACACCTCGTAGCACACGGTCCACGCCTCATACTTTAACCTTGTTTGTTTGTTCATTTTATTTCATCTTCTTTTCTTTTTTTAAAAAAAACTTATTTGTTTAGCTTTTTCAATTTTAAGATTACTTATATTAATGCTACGAGTAATATATTATTTTAACATATTAAGATTAGATTTGTGAATGGATTTTTATTCATTGATAATAATATGTTAGTACTAATTGATTTTTATTAATTGGTAAAAATATGTTAATACTAATTAGACTTTAATATTAATTTTTAAAGCTAAAGTACCCATAATCTAAATGTTTAATATTAATATTGATTACTCTTCCCTCTATTCTTATTAATAAAAAATTAAGATAAAAACACGGGACCTGCCTAAGGCGCGTCCCTCAAGCTAGTACAATATAAAAGAGGAGATGAGTGTTTCATTTTTTGTTCTTCAACTACTCCCTTGCATGCTTATATATAAATTGTTTTTTAACTTTTGCTACCATGTTTTTACTTTAATACTTGCTTGTTCGATTTGTTTTTGTAATTTTTTAAATATTGTACTATTATGGTTTCACAGTAAAAAAAATTTATAAATTGATCCTTTTTGCATCAAATGCTTTCTTGTTTGTTTTTTTTTATTTATTTAAATATTTTCAACTTGTAAATCTTTAAAACACTTTTTACTGCATATATAAATATATATATATATGAGCAAAGGCACATTTTTTTTTTGAATTTTTTTAACCATCATCGTACATAATATGAAATTGTTGAATTTGATGACTTTCTAATAAGTTTACACGTTTTATTTGAAAATCTTCATTATATTATTTTTCAATTGAAAAATATTAATTAGGTTGACTATATTTATTCATGTTTGTAATAATTAAAACATTTGTTAGCATGTTATACACGTTTAAGTTCAACTCGAAGTTTAAGTTTAATTATTTGCATACTTATTTTATATATTTTAATAAATAAATAATCAAAGAAAATAATTATAATTGTTTGATAAAAATAATTCTTTAAAATAAAACAAAGAAAAAAGCATGCAAATTGTAAAGCAAAGAAAAAAAAAAGTTATAAACAGGGACGTACCTTAGGCTCTCTCATGCTAGTAACAGATATGTTCAGAAAATGATCAAATGGCAAAAATAGAGCACATCAAATATTTGTAGTTAATTTGATTTAATCAGTTTAAGAGTCTCATTTTTAATTAGGTTTAGTAGTATTTTTTAAAGGGTTTAGACAGTTAAAAGGATCAAAATATTTATATATATTCTTGTATCTTTTTATATGTTCTAACAGGATAAGTTCTAAAATAGGTTACTGTTATTTTATGTGATAACAAAATCTAAGAAAAATGTTTAATAACTAATTTTATGCAATAGCCTCAAATTTTATAAATGTTCAAAACCATTGAAGTCGTAAGCGTTAAAAAAAATATATCTTACCAAACTAACCAAACTGAATCTATATTGTTTGATTCCATTTGATGTTCTCTAGAAATCTCAAATTGACCAGAAGCAAATTAACATTTTTTGTTTGCTTGGAAAATTTTTTCTTCAAAGCCAACCATAAAACATCCCTAACTTGATTGATTTCATGGTTTTGAGTTATATTTTGGTTTGGCCCGAGCGTAAAAACTGAAAACATTAATAACAAAACTCTATGACTTTCTTTGCGTGGACAAATCTATATGTTAGTTAGTACCTAATAGCTCTCATTTATGTAAACAAAACAATAAAATGATGAAAAATAAATCAAACAAAATCAACACACGAAATTTATAGAGACTTTAATGAAAGACTATGGGTGCGTTTAGAACTCATTCTAAAATGATTTTATTTTTGTATAAAAATAAAAATTAAAATGTTTTCAATTTTAGACAAAAATTATTTTTAAAATGTGTTTGGTAGTTTTATCAAAAGATTATTTTCAGTCTCTGCTCGAGAAATGAGAAAACAAAAATAAAAAATAAAAAACGACTAAAAGTCATTTTTTTATTTCTTTTTTATTTTACACTAAACCAAAAAATCGTTTTTATTTATGTTTTTTGTTTTTATTGTGCCAAACGCCGTTTTAAAAACGTTTTCATTTTTTATTTCTCAAAAAACGTGAAAAATAAAAGCATGATTAATTCCAAACATAGCCTATATTTTTTCTCTATTTCTCTGATTAACCAAAAAAATAGCACCCCTTTTATAATAAAAACCAGGAAAGCAAAATTTCACAAGTGTAAAATCTCTAAACTACCATTTAAACAATAAGATAATAAATTATTAGAATAAATAATTAAGTTCCGCAACTCCACGTAGATCATTTACTCCCACATAAATTGCACCTTTTTTTAAGGGAAACTAAATTGCACCTTTTCTTGTATTATTTACGTACTTCTTTTTTCTTCTCGGAATCTCTGAAAACACGAATTCCTTTTCTTATCTCTTTCTACACTTTTATTCTTCTCCTAAAATTTAGGCATTGACCTTTAATAAGCAATAGCTACATTATGACACTGCAAATTGTACGTGCACCCTTTTACCTTACTTTATTATGGTACAACTTTTTCATTGTTTTGTATAGCCTCAATAGAATCTATGCATTACGACCCCGCATGAAATTAAAGTACGTTTTGTTCATAAATTAAAATTATGAAAAAAATATTATAATAAATTATGAATCATGATTTAAATTGGGATATAAATCCTTCAACTAAACAACCTTTAAGTCAACAAAAGTGTGTCATGAAAAAATCTTATTAAAAAAGTCATAACACGTTGTTCGAGCAAATTTAAGATCCACCGACTCTATGTATTTCAACTTTATCATTAATGTTACCAGCTACAAGATTAAATGGTGTGTGTGTGTGTTTTTTTTTTAATTATTTTTTTAAAAAGGTGTAGATCAGAGGCGTGACAATAGATAGCCACCATTACATTTTTCTCTCTCTCTTAGTTTTTTTTTTTTTTTTTTTTTTTTTTTTTTTTGGCTAGTACCTTTAATTTTTAATTTGGCTAGTACCTATAATTGTTATTTGTTTGTTAACTTAACCAAGGCAGGAAGATCTATATTCTATCTACTTAGATAACATTATATCAATTCAAAGAGCTAAGATCACCACGTGGAGGGCTTGTTTGGCATTAATTTTGGAGTGATGCTTTCTAGATTAATGTAAAGAATCTATAGGTTAGGGTGTTTGATATAAAATTTTGAATGTTGACTTTAATATTAGAAATAAAAACTAACCTAGAGATATCTGTAAAATTACCTCAAAAATTATTTTTATTAAATAACAATATGGGCATCTTTATTTTAATCATTATATATTTTACGACAATTTAATCCATAATTTACCAAAAACTTATTTTACGCTTTTGATATTCACAACAACATTGAAAAAAATTACCAAACCCCTGTATACTTATATTCGTAGTGATGTTTGAGTGACAACACATTTAAAGATAAATATTTGAACAGCACAATAATGTTACACTGGCCTATTGTTTCTTTACTTGGTTCAAGAGAAGAAATCCGAGCTCGGGGAGCTTGAGCTGTGATTTGATAGACACTATTTTTACCATTTCCGTGATCTTTTCCAAAACGTTGTGAAAAGCTTTTTTTGATTGGTAATATGGTTATGTCAAAGAGGGGTAAATAAATAGAAGACTTATTATTGAGTCTAAAAATACGTTTGGTTTGAGGATTTAAACCATAATTTGAATCATGGTTCATGATTTATTATAGTATTTTCTCTCATAAAAAATACATGTAAATTAAAAATAGTTCTAATCACATGATTCTAATATATGAACCAATCGTCTCATAAATAAGTGAAAAGTTATTGTCTCGTTGTTGATCGGTGGAGAAATATAAAAGTGGTCTTTACTATAGAAGTGGAAAGCTACAATAGCAATACTCATTTTGTTGAGGGTGAGAGAGGTGAAAGATGAGATGGGCAAGGAAGGTATAAAGAGCATTTCCCACTACCATCAACCAGATTCCGGCAAGGAAGGTATAAAGAGCATTTCCCACTACCATCCAGATTCCTAACTATTTAGCACCAAAAAAAAAAAAAAAACAGATTCCCAACTTGATGCTCATTTGAGTTGGAAGAGAATTAAAAGGTGTGGTGGGACAGTGTTGGAGATTATCAGCATCTTATATCTCGAAATTTAGGTTGTCACTGAGGTTTTAATTTTGTGCAGCTTTGCGTTTTGAATTTTATAAATTTGTGCAAAGAAACAAGGTAAAATATATAGCTAAGTATGATAAATTAATTCTGAAACATTACGGGGGTAGATTGCAAATTTAAAAAGAGAAAAAGTTTCTAGGTTTGTTTCATAAATTTAGGGCCCGTTTAGTTCGCTGATTCGAGTTGAGATGTGATTTTATGTGAGAACTTTTTACTGTAGCAAAAAAGTTAAATGTGATTATTTATGAGAGATTTTTACTGTAGCAAAACTCGAATTATAAACTCGAATTAACGAAATGAATGGGGCCTTAAACTACTGTTCAAAATCTATAGTGTTTTGTCTTATAAAATTTAAATTTTTATTCAAACTTATAAATTAAACGGACTCTTAATATATTATCACTTTGTTTTTTTTTTCTCCGGAAAGTGACAATATCACTTATAGCTCCAGAGAATTTTATTTTATTTTATGTTCATGGGTCTAAGGGAAAATACATCAAAAATTTGGCCAATCAGATTTTTGGGAAGCAACTCTGATGCTACTGTTCAAACTCTGTTTTTGTTGCTATTGTCTGAATTTCCTAAAGTGATATTTGTCTCATCAAAGTCTTATGCCCCGTTTATTTCGCCGATTCGAGTTTAGAATTCGAGTTTTGCTACAGTGAAAAGCTCTCAGAAACAGTTACATCTAACTTTTTTGCTACAGTAAAAAGCTCTCACACAAAATCACATTTCAACTCGAATTATAAACTCGAATCAACGAAGTGAACAGGAACTTAGTAATTTAAAAATCTACAATAATATTCCCCTCCCTAAAAAAGGACGTACAATAATTCTAAATTAGAATAATAATAAAAAAAGTCTGCAGTGTTAAATCAAAATGCAAAAAATTATTCTTATGTTATAAAAGAAATGTTTGAGATTATCCTTTATATTTTCTAACGACACAAAATTCACCTATGTATTTAGCCACAAAAAAAAATTCCACTTTATTTTAGTGAGAAATAATAGTATTAAAAGATTTTTTGGCCATGCATAAAAGACACCATGATGTTAGTTATAAAGATAACAACCTCATTAAGCATCAACAAAAATATCTTTTTTTTAATAATAAATTAAAAGTAAAGATTAAATTTCTCAAATGAGGAAAAAAAATTTATGCTATGTTTAGTAGGATGGACAGAGAAAAGGAAACAATGAGAAGTAAAATACATAAGTGAAGGAAATAAAATAATTTTCTTTCATGTTGTTTGGTAGAAGAGAAAGAAAAGTGAAAAGAAAATGTTAAATCTAAAGTATTTTACAATAATACCCTAATACAGATAAAATTATGATGAATAATGAAAGTTAAAATTGTTATTTTACACCTCATTTATTTGTCAAATTTTTTCTATATTCTTTTCTTCTTAAAATTGAAAGGATTAAAAATTAGTAAGTCCTGTAGATTTTTCATTTTCCTTCATTTTTCATTTCGTCTCTACAAAACAATCTAAACTTTTATTTTTCTCTCTAAAATCCTTCATCTATTTTATTTCTTATTTCTTTTCCACCCTACCAAACACACCCTAAAGATCATATTTACCACCTAGAGTTTTCTCATTTGGAGCACCATTATTTCTTTTCTGAATGGTAACAGTGCCTTCTCGCACAACTATATTTAACTAAATTTGATACCAGATTGGATTTTGTCCGATTAAAAAGTACAAGACATAATTAGGACGTTTGGTAGAGGGATTCGTTCCCTGATTCGAATCATGATTCGTAATTCGCTACAATATTTTTTCTCACAAAAAATACACGTAAATAAAAAATAATTCGAATCACATGATTTGAATCCTCCAACCAAACGTGATTCTCATATTTTGATGAAGACATAATTTCATTTAGATTCTCGTATTTTGATGAAACATAAAGAAAATTTTTATTATTATCTCTATCAAATTAGCACGTTATTGAAAATAATTTGCACAATACATGTGAGTTGGAAGTCAAAAGTCACCTTTTTGATTCTCATATTTTGATGAAACATAAAGAAAATTTTTATTATTATCTCTACCAAATTAGCACGTTATTAAAAATAATTTGCACAATACATGTGAGTTGGAAGTCAAAAGTCACCTTTTTCAGTGATAAGGAAATCTTAGCTCACAAGGAGACAAGTGGAGCATCATAGCACAGTTAAACATATTCTTTTGTTATTAAATAAAATATTGTTATCCAATGAGGCACAGAGAATCATTCCCATTTTGGTTTGGAAAATCCATTCAGCACAACCACTCAAACAATCTTAACAACTAAGTATAAAAAAAAATAAAAAAATAAAAAACTCAAATGGCTGAATAGTCATAAAAAAGTAGTACGACGAAAGGAACTTCGTTGAAAAAAATCAGCACTTTATGCTTTATAAATCTAGATCAGTATGGCCATCGCAATCAAATTCCCAGTGAGTCAGCACAGAAAAGCTTTTGGCCACACATGAAACCATTGAAGCCCTTTTGCAAGGGCGTGTAAAATGCCAATAGTGATCTGTATGCTATAAAGAGTATTCAGTAATCACTATTGTGCTCATACAAAAGAACAAGCGTATAGAAAGTAAACTATGGCTGGCCATTTGGAACCACATTTGAGTTTACCTTGTTCAACAATATCGGCCGCTTTCATTTTATTTTCCCGCGATCCAAACAGACCCTCAACGTAGATAGTATTCATCTACATGTGGGGTGGGAAGAAAAAGCATAAACTCAATCTGAATGATGACCCTAGGTCAAAAGAATGGCTTGGAGGCAAGTATTGTATTAAGAGAGCAAAAATAATATCGGAGTTTATAATTCGTTTCGTAAATCTTGTAATTAGATCAGGCTGGTTCTGCTGATTTTCCAGCTTCTATAGAGGCATGCTTGAAATTGAAAACAGCACCAAGACCTCTTTTCTTTGAGAGCTCTTCTAGTTCTTCAAGTTTGCGCCTAAGGCTCTGCACTTCTCTTGACAACTCCTCGTCTCTTTGCTTCATCATCTAAATCAAACGAACAGAAGCTGTGCGTTAGGTAAGAGCGAAAAGTTGATACTTATTGCTCTCTTAAGCAAATACATACTGCAATGCAGTGATGGGCTGTTGCGGTGTTTTGTTAATCAATATCATTGGCGTTTCACCACCAAGAACAAGTTTAAGTAGTTTGAATAATCTTGTGTCTAATAATTATGTTATGTGGTGTAATATACCTTCATTTTCCAATTATGGTATTTCCCTCTATGATCTTCCATTTTATTTGTCTATGATCATAAATAAAGAATATGATATTCATATTTACTTCAAGCCACAATTTTCCCTTTTTTTTTTTAAAAAAAAAAAAGAGAGAAAAATGTAAGGATATATATTGAATTTCAATCAAAGCAATGCATCTTAAGAATGAAATAAATGATGCATAGAACCAAAAGTGGCGGGAATGTGAGAATGAACTTCTCTCAAACACACTCAATTTTGACCAAGAAGTGTTGCTTTGTTACACCGGCACTTCTCGAAGAATTGGACAAGTTAAATCTAATTATCATTACAAACTCTATTTGCTGGGTCGATTTGTTGAGAAGCAACTGTAGTCAAACCAATAGAATTTTTCACGGGATTATGTTTTCAGAAAATTTTGTAGCTTTGATTTGATTGGTTTCCTACGCAACCAAGTTAGATAAAAAGTATAAGCGTTCCTAGTTTTTGTAACTTAATTGTACTCAATGCAATGACCTTAAGGAAAATGCCACTCGCTCCAGGACTTAAGGATACCAAACAAAACAATCTTTCTTGTGAAAGCTATGAACACAATGAAACGGTGCATAGCTATATTACCTCCAATTCTTTCCTGCGAATTTCCTCCTTTCTGGCTTCTGATCTAGAACTTCTTTGCACTTCAAAGATCAGAGCAATTCCTGCAACCTATATATTAGAAATTTGAGCACACAAGTTATCAAAAGAATAGCAATAAAATATGACAATAATAAAGAAAGCATGCACTGAATGTACAAAGAACTCGTTTCTAATGCGATAAACATGTTAAACCATTAAGCATTCATGTTAGCCTATTCGATTTTCACTTTTCAGCTCCTGGTTTTACTATGCATAAACGAAATCAAACATAAGAGCCAAAGGAAAGTATTTTAAAGAAATTCTGCAAAGGAGGAGTTAGGAGATTACTTACAGAGAAAACAAATACTTCACCCATAAGGTCTACAGCAGCCTGTACAGCTTTCTCCTCATTCAACGGACGGATTTCAACATCTGTTGCGTGGCCATAGATGCGTCTTTGCATTTGTGTGGTGATTTGGTGGTTTTTCTGATTCAAATAAATAACAAGCCCCATTAGAAGGAACACATTTGTGAATTTAATGTGAAAGATGAAACACATTTGTGAGTTTAATGTGAAAGATGAAAGACATATATAGCAATCATAACAAGAAGAAAACCCAAACTTAAAAGCATTATAGCAGCTATAACAACAAGAATGAACACATTTGTGAGTTTATTGTGAAGAACAAATATTAATTAACGAGAATTATAACAAGAAGAAAAACCAGAAACTTATAAGCACAATTCTAGCAGTAGAACAGTTAGGAAAATAAATTGAACACTATTTACAACAAAATCACAATGTTGCAAAATGCATCGATACACGTGCAGGTGCTAATTCTAAACAATGTCAAATTCAGACAATAAGCGTGACTAACGTTTGGTTATGGATTAGAATCATTTTCAATTTATGTATTTTTGTGTGAGAAAATACTGTAGCGAACTATGAACCATGATTCAAATCATTATACGAATCTCGTACCAAAATAAAGGAAACTGCCTATTTTCTAATCTGTATATGTGCAGTTTGTATATCACGATCAACAACAAAAACATATTTGGGTCAATTCTCTAGGAACGACAGAATTACAATCTAAAATTGACGCGCAAAAACAAAAAAAGAAAAATACCCAGATGATAAAATGCGATCAGAAGACGGAATATGATGAAGTACCTGAGCGATGTCGACAATAAACTGGCGGAATCTGGGATGCAAACCGGCTTGTTTCTTGAGCCTACTAGCAACTGGTTTGCTCAGAGTCTTCAAGGCCAAAGTCCCAAGCTTCAGGAGCGGCAGTACCATGCCTACCAACTCAGATCCAGCAATGGGTTTCTTTTCTTCTTTTTTTTTCAGCGAAAGATAAAAGATTTCTTGGTATCGAGAATGACGCAGATCAAGCGCTCGCTGTTTGGTTCATTTGAAAGTTCGAAATGGGGCAAATATGTGAGGAATTGTTTGGCTTTTGACTGCGCATTGGTCAGAGGGTGAATGAGTTCCTTGGCGAAGAAGACAGAAACGCGTGGAAATGGAGCAGGTCAGAGGAAGGAGACGCCATGTTTGGATTGGGGGTGTTTGATTTGATTAGAGGTTTAAGGGAATTAATTTGATAATTGTACATGTGCTTTTTTGTGGACTCCACTTTGGAGCATGTACTTTTGCTCCAAGTACGTTGGTAAAAACCGTTTATATCAAAATTTCACGGTCAAAACTCAAGATGATTTGTTTGAGTATTAAGAGAGATTTGGTTCATGGATTAAAATTATGAGATTAAAATTATTTTTGATTTATGTGTATTTTTTATGAGAAAAAATACTATAACGAATTATGAACTATGATTTAAATTAGATATGAATCCCCTTACCAAACGTCTCTTTAGTTTTTTAACGTTTTGATATAGGATTAAAGAGTGCTAGTGAGTTTTTAATAATAATAAGACTCACTTTTAACCCGGTTACACTAATTATTCAACTGATTACGCTAATCTCTTAACCGGTTATGATGAGTGAAATTTCTCTTATTTTTAGTAAGGGCCACAGAAAAAACCTTGTTTGAGTATTATTTTTTAACGTTTTGGTATAAGATTAAAGAGTGCTAATAAGTTTTTAATAACAATGGGACTCCCATTCCTTCCATCTCTTTCCAACCAAATACAAGGGACTAAATCCAATTAGAAAGGAGAATTTTACAACAAACTATGTAAAGAATACCATACTGATAGGGTACAGTTGTTAACTGACAAATGGACTTAGGTACCATTTTTAACCATTTGATAAAATAAATTAAAAAAAATATTGGCAGTTCAACGAAACATAAACAACAATCGACAATTAAAAATGGTATTTTAACAATAAAGTATTATATCATACCATACTAAAAAAAAATATTGTTAAATAACTCTCGCGAGAAAAGAAAAAAAAATAAAAAGACCTTTATGATTATGAGACGTTTGGTTAATGGATTAGAATCATAAAATTAGAACTATTTTTAATTTATGTATATTTTTTATAAGAGAAAATACTATAACGAATCATGAATCATGATTCAAATTAGGATACGAATTCCCACAATCCAGAATTTAGATATTTATCGTCCTTGGTGAGAATTGAGGAATCAGGAACCTCTGTTTACACATGGACCGGTTGTTAAAACTTTTGCCGTAGTTCAATTGTAAATAATATGTAATACCTACTTTAACTTTGGTGTCGTCTCCTTTAAACTGCAAGTCGTTTATGTGCGACAAGTCTGTTAAGTTTTCGTCGATGCGCAAAAAATCACAGAGAATTTTATAGGGGTACATTTATGGTTTAAAAAAAAGGGTTGAAAAATGTTATTTTACTCCATAAATATGAATTATAGTTCATTAATTTTTCAATAATTTACAATAAGAGTAGTTTTACATCCTACGCTGTATTAATGCATACATGCACAAATATAATTGTTAAAAACTAATACAACGATTAAAAAATAACAATCGATAAAGTAAAATAGTCATCTTCATCGTAAATTTTTCTTTGAAGCGTCTTTAAGATTTTAAAAAAGGTCATTTGTTTAATCCTTGTTATTATTATTGTTATTATATTACCTGTTCTTGTTTCATGAAAGAGATTTTTTTTCTTTTAAAACGACATGTTAGTTTATCGTCTATGACTGAAAATCTTTTTCGAACGTGAAAATCATATTGATTTCAAAACCCCGCTAAAAAATGAAAAACGAAACGAAAACAAAAATGCAGGTTGCCTCGCCACCAGGTCATCTATCCGCACCACGCTCATTAAAACAACGATTCAACGGCAAATGCTAACAACACGAAAACTCCAACGGTCACGATTGCTCGCATCGGCCACAAATTTCAAAAACGCGCCCACCCAAAAGGAAAAAGTCACCGCCACGTCATCGATCCGCAATGCGCATGTAAGCCACAAACTCACCCAAGCCGTCGATTGCCCAAAACTAATCGTCGGTCCACAATCATCGTCCTCCTCGCGCCCCTTTTCAAAACGCTGTATAAATCCCCTCCTCATTTTCCCATTCATCATTGCTCTCCAAATCCTCCAATTTCAATCTCTGCAAACTCTAGCTTTTAGCATTTCTCCAATTCACAGTTCTAAGATCCTCCAATGGCTCGCACCAAGCAAACAGCTCGCAAGTCCACTGGCGGCAAGGCGCCGAGGAAGCAGCTGGCGACGAAGGCCGCCCGCAAGTCGGCTCCGGCGACCGGCGGAGTGAAGAAGCCCCACAGATTCAGGCCCGGAACCGTGGCTCTCCGTGAGATCAGGAAGTACCAGAAGAGCACCGAGCTTCTCATCAGGAAGCTTCCTTTCCAGAGACTCGTTCGTGAGATCGCGCAGGACTTCAAGACCGATCTCCGGTTCCAGAGCTCCGCCGTCGCCGCTCTTCAGGAGGCCGCTGAGGCCTACCTCGTCGGTCTCTTCGAGGACACAAATCTCTGCGCCATTCACGCCAAGAGAGTCACCATCATGCCTAAGGATATTCAGCTCGCCAGGCGTATCAGAGGCGAGCGCGCTTGAGTTTGATTTAGGGCTTTCTCTGTATAGAAGCAGTTGGGAATGGTGTGTGATGTATGAAACGTTGGATCCATGTTTGCATCTATTGCTGCTTTCTGTTTTTTCCTGTTTAGAGTATCCAGTGGCTATTTTACTGCTTTTTAGGAATTAGATTAGATTTAGTATAAAGTTTAATGTAGGCGTTAACTATTTCGTTGATGAAAAATCATATTTTTCAATGTACTATGATTGTTATTATTATTTTTTCCTGTTATCTTGATCACCCCTTACTCGTTAAGAATCAGAGAGCAAATCGTTTGGCTTAGTGACAAATCATCACTATGCTTAGTAACCAATGTTCTTGATCTCGTTTTTTCTTTACTGGGTTCAGAGGTGATATTTACTCAGCAAATTTTTAAATGAAATTGGTGGGTGAAGTTGTTTCCAATATCTTGGTCAAGAGATCCAAACAAATTAGGAAATTTCATTTTAATAAAGAAAATCCTATACAGCAGAGGGCAATGTCCTGTAGCAATAATTGTTTGTGGTGTGCTAGGCTGTGGGTTCAGTTGCCTAGAGATACTGGACGTAGAAGTTTGGGCCTTAAGACTTTTCTTTCTCTATCTTCTTCAGTACTTTGTGCTTTAACTTATTACACAAACTGGTTTGGTGTCTGAGGAGATTATTGATCTACTTCAAGGCAAAGAGTCCAATGAGTTGTTCCAAGCACAATCTCATTTGTACAAGCATATGCTGTCCTTCATAAGTTCCATGTCTATCAAATCTGCTGTTCAGTTGAGCATACCAGACATAATCAACAACGATGGCCAACCCATCACTCTCTCTGAGTTGGCCTCTGCACTTGATATTCACCCAACAAAAGCCGGTTTTATCCACCGTCTCATGTGCCTATTGGTGCACCATGGCTTCTTTAATTCTGCAAAAATTGGTCATGATGAGGAAGCATATGATCTGACCCCTTCTTCTAGACTCCTCAAAGATAAGATCCCTTCCCTGTCACCCTTTGTTATGTCATTGCTTGATCCAGCTTTGATAACTCCCTGGCATTTACTAGGAAACTGGTTTCAAAAGGAAGAGAAGATGCCACCCTTTGAGTCAGCACATGGGATGAGCTTTTGGGCCTATGTAAACAAGAATTCTGACTTTAACAATCATTTCAATCAGGCAATGGCCATTGACTCGGGGATGATGAACTTGGTTGTTAAAGACTGCAAGCCTGTTTTTGAGGGACTAAGTTCATTGGTCGATGTAGGTGGCGGAACCGGAACAATCTCCAAAATCATCATTGAGACATTCCCTCATATAAAATGCACAGTGCTTGATCTACCCCATGTGGTTGCTAATTTGCCAGCCACTGAAAACTTGAAGTTTATTGGCGGTGATATGTTTCAAGGTATTCCTTCAGCGGATGCAATATTACTCAAGGTACATATTTTCTCTCTTGGCCACTGGCTATATTTTAAAGAATCTTTACAAGAAGCAATATACATAGCTTAATTTGCCTGTATTGCTGTTTAGAAAGTAAATGATTGAAATTTTGGCAGTTGATGTTACATTGTTGGAGCGATGAGGAATGCTTGAAGGTTCTGAAGATATGCAGAGTAGCTATTCCAAGCAATGGAGGTAAGGTCATTATAACTGACATAGTGATAAACAAGGACAAAGATGATCCAGAATTGACTGAAGGAAAATTATACTTTGACCTGTTGATGATGATTTTGGTTACTGGGAGAGAGAGAAGTGAGAAAGATTGGGAAAAGCTATTCTTGGAGGCTGGTTTTAGTCACTACAAGATAACACCCTTGTTTGGTTTAAGGTCATTAATTGAGGTTTTTCCTCGGAAACAATTAAGTAGTAATGAAAGTGTACATTTGAGAACTAGTCTCATTTCAATGGTGGCTCGAAACTCAATGCAATTGTTTGTTTTTCTTCCGTATGTTTATGAATTGCTTAAATGAAAAGCCTAATTGGTCACAAATTTTCCTACATTTTTTTAGTTCACTTTTTTTTTTTTCTCAATGATGGTTGGCAACTTTGTAACGGCCAGTGGTCTACACCCCAAGCTAATGAACAAAATGCAAATTGGAAGTGATAAAACTATTAAGAACAATGAGTATATTGAGAGTGCTGATGAGAATGAAGTTTTTGCCATAACGCAAATCACTGTCACAGATTGTGGATGTGGATGGGCGTCAAATTAGTAAGGGATGGATAGTTGGATGGGACTCTATGGCGTGGACCACTTGTCGTCCACTTGGGTGGATTTTCCTTCCTTCTCTCTATCTATTTCTCTCCACCCTCCGGCGGTTTAGAAAACGATAAAAATTTTGATGTCAATGGAAATATGGAAGGCCTAGATTTACGAAAATATGGATGGATAATGTTTGGTGTTGATGTTAGTAAAATGAAAAACAAGCGACAAATATATGCATAAAAAATTAAAAAATTCAAGTAAAAATATATAATTATAGCAACTGCAAAGCTGAATCATACTTATGTTAACATTTTTTTGTTAATAGTTTTACATATATAACAAATATGTGTCTAAACTTGTTTTACATCAATGCATGAAATTAACATGGTGAAAATAAATGTTTGCATGCAAACACATGTATCCCTTTCAGACTTTATTTGATCACCAAATTTAGTTAGTTGGTTCGTTTTATTTCCTCCCACCGGCCCTTCCCCCAGCAATATATAAAAGATAGTCATACGCATCAAGTACAATAAGGAAATGGATATAAGGTAGATATTGTTGAGGATTTTTAAATTGGCATTATTTTTGAATGTTTGCAGATTTGGATTGTTTGGGAATATTGTGATTAATTTGTTGTAGATTTCCTCATTGAAGGGATTTCGGATTGTGTTGAAATACGGTTTCTTATTTTGATGAGTTAATTATGGTGATTTGATTGTCCACTTTGTTTTGATTTCCAGATTTGTTGATTGATTGTGTGATTGGCATCATTATAGGTGTGATAATCTGATTGATTGGATTATGATGTGTTGGAGAACTCTTTTAGAAAGAATCTGCCTTGTTTGGAAACTGTACAAAGTCCTCTTTTGTGAAAGTTAACATTTGTTTCAAGTTTGGAAAATTGTTGATTGATGAGATTCAGTTAGCTGGACAAATATCTTGCTTCTAAGGAACACGTCTTGGTTCATGTGCCGCTAATGAGAAGACTTCAAGAATCTGTGTGATTGATTATCAGATCAGTTTTGACAGCAGTGTTGTAGAAATTATTGCCACAAGTTTCTGCAACAAGTTGAGTACAATGGCTTGTATTGAAGACATTTTGACAGCTGTTGTGATTGGCTATTTAACTAAAGTTTCTAGCTTATTTTCTGCATGTCTTTTGAGTCACAGAATTCCAGTGAGTCATATCATTTTGTGAGCATTTGTTTTTCGCGTTCTTCGGGAGAAGACGATTTGAGGTGTTGAAGGGAGTTCAACCAACGTTCTTTGGGAGAGGAATTTGAAGCTTTCAGGAGAGAGTGCATTGCCAACTGAAGGGTGTTCGCCGTGCAGTTTTGAAGTCGAGGGGAGCTCACTGAACAAGTCCATTGGGTAGTTGCAAGTTCATATGCGTCATACTTAGAGAGTGAGTCTCGAGGTGATTAAGCCCAATTGAGTTCTAACATTGTTTACTTAGTGGATTGTTTATCATCTGGGTGTAGCCCCGCAGAGTAGGTGGTTATTTAACTGTGATACCAAATTGCATGTGTCTTTTTCTATATCACTTCTGAAATTTTGGCAGCGAATCTCTGTGGATGATGGGAATCGAGAGAGGAGAGAACTGTTTCTGAAAAGAGGAGAAAGAGAAGTAATGGTCAGGAGCGCAGGGGAATCTGAGAGAAAAAAGTAAGGACTCTCACATGGAGTGCACTGTAAAGAAAGGTTCGAGTTAATGGGAATTCAAGGGGTAGTTGGAATTCCATCTTGACGGAGTAAACTCAAATTGTAACTCGAATTTGATTTAAAGTTATGTTGCCTGCACGCTTACTTGGGCTGTAACTTAGATTTGAGTTGGGCTGATTTGAGCCCTATCCACGAAACGAACACAGCCTAAAGTTGTTTCAAATTTCTTGGCCAAGCATTTCCTGGCTAATTATGAAATTCCAAGTAAACAAAGAAAAATATTATTCAACTAAGAACGGTATCTTTTAATTGTCAATTAATGAGATTAAATAAGTTGTTGAAAAATTCTGATTAGCAAAAACAAAGTTGTTGATAAATTCAAATCAATTTATAGACCAAGTGAAAGTGACATATTGTTTGTGCTAGCCTGCTAGGCTGCGGGTCCATTTGGCTAAAGATATTTGAAGCCTTTAATTCTTTGGACAGAAAATATTAAATGTGTGCCTTGACTTTTGAAATGCATCATTTATTGGCAATAACGTCGTATCTTTCCTTCCTATTATCTTCTTCAATACTTTGTTCTTTAACTAATTACAGAAGCTAGTTTGGTGTCGAACAAGATTATGGATCTACTTCAAGGCCAAGGATCCAATGAATTATTCCAAGCACAATCTCATCTGTACAGTCATATATTCCGCTTCATAAGTTCCATGTCTCTGAAATGCGCAGTTCAATTAGGCATACCAGACATAATCAGCAACCATGGCCAACCCATCACTCTCTCTGAGTTGGTCTCCGCACTTGATATTCACCCAACAAAAGCCGGCTTTATCTACCGTCTCATGCGCTTATTGGTCCACGATGGCTTCTTTACTTCCACGAAAATTGGTGAGAATGAAGAAGAAGAAGAAGAAGAAGCATCATATGATTTGACCCCTTCTTCTAGACTCCTCTTGAAAGATAAGATCCCTTCCTTGTCCCCCTTTCTTGTAGCAATGCTTGAACCAGCGATCACAACTCCCTGGCATTCACTAGGAAATTGGTTTCAGAGGGAAGAGGATATGACACCTTTTGAGTCGGCACACGGGATTAGCTTTTGGGCCTATGGGAACAAGAATTCAGAATTCGGCAATCTTTTCAATCAGGCAATGGCCAGTGATTCTGGGATGATGAACTTGGTTGTTAAAGATTGCAAGCTGCTTTTCGAGGGGCTGAGTTCGTTGGTCGATGTAGGCGGCGGTACTGGAACGGTCTCGAAGATCATCACCGAGGCATTCCCTCATTTGATATGCACAGTGCTTGATCTTCCTCATGTGGTCGCTAATTTGCCAGACACTGAAAACTTGAAGTTTGTTGGAGGTGATATGTTTCAAGATATCCCTTCAGCAGATGCAATTTTTCTTAAGGTACACATTTTTCTCTGTTGGTCACTCACTATATTTTAAGAATTCATAGCTTTATTTGTATTGATGTTTAAAAAATGAAGTATTGGCATTTTGGCAGTGGCTGGTACATGCTTGGAGCGATGAGGAGGGCTTGAAGGTCTTGAAGAAATGCAGAGAAGCTATTCCTAGCAATGGTAGATTACATGCTTGGAGCGATGAGGAGTGCTTGAAGGTCTTGAAGAAATGCAGAGAAGCTATTCCTAGCAATGGTAGAGGTAAGGTCATTATAATAGACATAGTAATAAACAAAGAGAAAGATGAGCGTGAATTGACTCAAGGAAAGCTGTACTTTGACCTGTTGATGATGGTTGCTGTTTCTGGAAGAGAGAGAAGCAAGAAAGAATGGGAAAAGCTATTCTTGGAGGCTGGTTTCAGTCACTTCAAGATAACACCCTTGTTTGGTTTAAGGTCGTTAATTGAGGTTTTTCATTAGGGGGAAAAAATGTAACTTTTAACATTAATGCGATTGTTGGTCATGTTTGGTTACTTGTATTATTATAGTGAAGGTGTTTGGTGTCATAAAATATTAAGGTCATATTTAGTTGCTTGTATTAGATTGTAATGCAGTATATTATGCATGCTGTCACTTGTCATAATATAATAGTATTTAGGTGTCATTATAAATTATGGAATCTAATAATCTACTGTATTTGGTACACAATAACATTGTATTGCACAAATGTTATTTATTTTTATATAACAGAAAATTATAGTTAAATAGGCCCCATTCTCGGTCAAAGGAAACGTAGGGGTCGAGATTGAGATCAAGGATGGGTAAAAATCGTGCTGAGATCTGAGATCGGGACTACTATTAGGGTCAAGAACTGGACTGAGATTGGGGATGAGGTCGAAATCTCATCAGGACCAAGTAGGCCTGACACCGGGGTCATAGTTGGGATGGGGCTGATGTAACGTTTAGGTTAAGGTTGAGGTCAGCACAGGGGTGAGGTTGAGTTCGTAACTGGAATTAGAGAGGGGATAGGGTCAAGCCAACCAAGAGAATTGAGTCCGTTCAGTTCGCTGATTCGAGTTTTTAATTCGAGTTGAGATGTGATTTTATGTGAGAGTTTTTTACTGTAGTAAAAAAGTTAGATGTGACTGATTCTGAGAGCTTTTTATTGTAGTAAAACTCAAATTCTAAACTCGAATCGGTGAAATGAATGGGGTCTTAATTTTCCAAAACAATTGCATATTATAGGGGAATGTGACTTTAATATGTTTATTGGTTGTGTTTGGATATAGATTTCTAATAGGGTCACAACGGCGAACACAATATAACATTGCTTGACAATATCTCCCCTTTCCTTCGAGTAGCTAAAGAAGAAGAAAAAGAAAATATCTCCTCACAGCCATGGCTCGCAAAAATATGGGCTGTGCCCAAGGTGGGAGCGAGCTGGGCCTGGGAGGGTTGTTCCCATTTAATTTTTTATTTCAAATTTTACATAAAACTATATTTAGATATTTCTTTTACACTCTTAGTTTTTATTTCAAATTATACTACACTACATGAGATGTAGTTAATTGTCACTACTCGTGACTCTCATGAATTCTTTTTCAACCATGATGATATCAAGGAAGAGAATCAATATTGACTTTCACTTTGCTCTTTTCTATTCGTAAGCATTATCGTCATGATATCATAGTTTAAAGTTCGTTTAGTTCGTTGATTCGAGTTTTTAATTCGAGTTGAGATGTGACTTTATGTGAGAATTTTTTACTGTAGTAAAAAAGTCAGATGTGATTATTTCTGAGAGCTTTTTACTGTAATAAAACTCAAATTTTAAACTCAAATCGGCGAAATGAATGAGACCTAATTTTGTCCTCCTTAACTCAATTCCATTGTTATAATTCTCACTCATGATGATGTTGATTATTGTACTTTTTTATGCAGTTGCCTACACACTCGTCATCATTTCATGCACAAATCTTTATAGGCATATAGCTCTGTTCTATTAATTAAGGCATTTTAGGCATGAAATCACTAAATCAGACACAAATAATTCCTCCTAACCAGTTTAATAGTGCCCAACTGTAAAGCTAAAAAGGAAGAAATTTTTAAATTTTTTGGTTCATGGGTTGAAAACTATCGTTGATGATTTTAATTTTTGAAATTTAAATTTTTTATGAAAGAAAAACACTATAACAGAATCAAGAATCATGATCTTAAATTAGACAGAACCCTTAAAACAAATGTCACTTTAAAGAATCATCAACATCAAATTGCTCACCCTTGTAATTAAAGCAAGCAATTTGCTTAAAACATATTCACAACATATAGGCCCTATTTACATAGAATTGAAGACAACCACCACCAAGTTACAAAAAACACAAATAAATTCCTCTAAACTTCCAAGAATACCAAAAAAAAAAAAAAGAAAAAAAAAACAAATGGAAAATCAATTGAGAAAATCATAAGACCGTATGACATATAAGAGAATCCACAACCTTGCAACTACATGCTAGATTAAGCTCCAAAAAGATTGAAGAAAAGCTGGGTGTTGATACTTTCACATTTTGAGTGTATTGCTCAAAGAACTGAGAACATAATAATACATTTTCAAACAAAATAATAAAACAAAAGGCCTCAAGAAAGAAAACAAAACAACTCAACCCTGCACACAATTTAGTTCATTGGTCTAGGAGTACTGTTTCTTTTTCTAGTGCTGTCTCCTTCAATTCTATTTCCTCAGATGTACTGTAGACAATGTTGCTTGGATCCTTATTTAGTTATTTTGGGGTGTCTTTAAGTTGTTTTCCTTGCTCTCTTTTAATATAAAAATTAAAATAGAAAAAAACCCTATTCAGTAGCCAAAAGAAGAAAAAAAAAAGGTAAAAAAAACCACTCAACTTCAATTCAAAAAGCTGGTTTTTGAACATCCATGCCATCTTTTCTCCTTGATTCTTTGAAAGCCCTTGATTTTCTTTTTTCAACTAAGCCGAGAATCAACATTTACTCCAAATTCAAGTAAAAGATTTACTTCAAACATCAACGTCAAAAAGTATGATTACATACAGAGACACACGTTTATGAACTTTAGTGTGCTATTGTTACTTTCAAACAGTCTACTGTAAACGCTAGACTTGTTTGCAAATTTCATTTTACTCTATAAAAATATTGCATTTTATTTGCACCAAAAAAAAAAAAAAAAAAAACTCACAAAATACTACATGGCATCTTCAAATACCAAAGCTTTTGTATTAATCCATAGTAAAATCAAATTAAAAACGATTTGCATAACTCTCCAACAAAAGCTCAACTCCAAACATAGCAACCAACCAAATTGAGGTACAAAGAAGTACTTAACATTATTATCAATTATCAATTATCAAGCATGACCCCAAAAGGCAAAGAATCTATTAAAAATCCCAAAAACTATATAACCCACTTCTCAATCCCTCATCAATCAAACGCAAATAACAATAATAATAATAATAAAATAAAAAAATCCAATTAAGAACTCAGCATCATCAATTAGTAGACGTAATTCACTAGGTCATGTCATAGGTCAGGTCGGGCCTTGTCTTGAGCCATTAACGGGCCGACTCATATGAGCCCATCTATGAGTCAGGATGGATTTGGCTATCTTGGCAAATCATAAGTTTGGATGGGCCAACCCATCTTGGGATACATTTTGCCAATTTTTTGAAATTTGTTTTTGAATTTCTAAATAAGTTAACAAATATAAAAATCTAAATAGTCAAGTAAATATGAAAAAGAAGTATTTTATTTATATCTGTCTAACTAAAAACCTTTTTAAGGAAAATCCAATGTAATAAAACCTAGATAAGGATAAAAGAGTACCGTCAGAATAATTGCACATAAAATATTTACAAAATTACTAAATAAAAATTAAACAAACAAAAGCACATAAAAAACATAAAAAATAAATATTATTCATAATTACAACACACCACTAGTGACAACATCACAAATATTCAAGGTCATAGGTGAATGACTATATATATATATATTATATAACAAATGTATATAGTAAATTTTTTATTAAATAAATACTATATTTATTAAATATATATATATATATATAAAAGAAGTTAGGCCAAACTGCCTGGATGGGCCATTGTATGCCAAGACAAGCTGGTCTGGCCCAATCCAAGCCTGGTTTGGCTCATGAATTTTCATGGGCTGTCTCATGGCAGTCCATAAGTTGAGGGATTCAACACAACCCATTCATATTAATGAGTTAGGTCATGTCCTAAATAATATCGTATAGTGTCGAGTCAATTCAACACTGTATTAGGATGGGCCTTGGCCTGGCCCACATGCCTCGGCCCATAGTAACATCTCTACAAAAAATTTATGCATAGCTAACGTCATAAACAACCATGGCTTATCCATCACGCTCTCTGAGTTAGTCTCAGGGTTACCCATAAACGTCAACAAATCTAGTTTTATCATGCGAATAATGCGGGTGCTTGTTCATCATGGCTTCTTTGATGCTATCCAAGTTGGCGAACAGAAATAAGAAACATACACTTTAACACCTAGCTAGTTCACCCTTATCGCTAAAAGATATATGTCCTATCCTTGTTATCGTCATTTGTTGAATTGATGTTGGATCCTATACTCTTCGCTCCATGTCATGTCTTGACAAAACGGTTACAAGACGATACTGCAGTAACGTCCTTCGATTCTTTTCATGGGCTGAATATCTCGGACTATATAAAGAAGAGTTTTGAATTTGAAGATCTTATCGACAGTGCCATGGATAGTGATTCCAGCAAAATGAACTTGGCTATCAAGGACTTAAAAAAAGTCTTTGATGGGGTAACTTCGCTCGTCGATGCCAGAGGGAAAAGGAGTGTTTTTTGTAGCATCATCATCGATGCATTCCTGTATATGCAATGCACTGTGTTGGATCTACCCCATGTTGTTGCCAATTTGTCTGATACATAAAATTTGAAGTTTGTTAGTGGTGACATGTTTAAAGCCATCCTTCCAGCAGATGCCATTTTACTAAAGGTATGCACATTTTTTCTATTCTTTGCTCTTTAATCAATATTTTCTATGCTTAGTATTTAATAAAAACCTGCCATTGTTCTTATAACACAATATAAGCCGCCATATCTTACATTTAAGTTATAAGAGTAAAATAAGGGCTCACGACTTTCTTTGCTTCAATGCTTAAACGTTAAAGATTGGCATTTTGCAGCGTATGTTACGTGCATGGAATGATGACGAGTGTACGTGCTTATCTTAAAAATTTGCAGAGAACCAATTCAAGGAAACCACGGGAAAAAAGTGATAATAATCGATATCGTCATGAGTGAAAATGATGGAACTGAGTTGATGGAGACAAAATTATACTATGATATCATGGCAATGATGCTAATGAACGGAAAAGAACGAAGTGAAAGGGATTGGCAAAAGCTAATTGCAAAAGCCGGATTCTCTCTATGTGAGATAACTGTTAAGGTTAGAATAAGATCGTTACCGAGGTTTTTCCTTGATGGCGAAGGGGCGTGGCTTGATTGGCAGCGGACAGTGTGTCGTGTGGGTCCCACGCGATGCCTAAAGAGCACTCTTTCTATGTGTTTCTGGCTTTATGTAGTATATTGCGTTCCTTGTATCCCTGTTTGTGGTGATTGGATTGGCTCTGGCATTTGCTTCATGAATTTAGAACTATGATTTAG